AATAGATAGATAGATAGATAGATAGATAGATAGATAGATAGATAGATAGATAGATAAGATCATCAATCTAGGAAAGGATAGGATTCTTCTTCATCATCCTTTTCATTCTTCCTGCTGCTCTTGCACTCTTCCTTGTACATCTATTTTTAAAGATGTCACATATTAATTTTCTCTGTATAGAAAATTTTAGATAAGTTTGGTCTTTACTATTTAAACCACATGTTGACTCTTTCCTGTGATATCTTCCTGCTGTAGTGCAATAGACGCTCCCAAATTGTAAAAATGTGTGCTGAATCATTCTCAAACAGCCACCTATGAGTTCCTTTTAAAAAAAAGAAAGAAAGAAAGAAAGAAAAATAAAGGAAGACTGACTTTGCCCTATTCTTTTATTTTTATTATATTTTTTAAAATCTCCCTTTTATTACATTTCTAAGTAATTCAAGGTGGTGAACATACAAAACATTCTTTTCTCCTCCTCTTTTCTCCTCTAGATGGGGAGCCATCTAGAGTTTGTTTTAAGATGAGCAGCTATGTAACTGTTCTAAATAAATAAATAAAATTTTCCCATAACAACAACTCTTTCAGATGGGTTGGACTGAGAGAAACTGATTGGTCCAAAGCCAGCTTTCATGCCTAAGGTGGAACTAGAACTCACAGTCTTCTGTTTTCTGGGCCAGCATCTTAATCCTACACCAAATTGAGTCTCTAAACTCACATCTCTAATGCGTTTTTTTGGCATATATTGAATGAAGGCTTAGGAATGTTTATTCTTTCTTCTTAAGAAGAATCATGCTTGGAAAAAAAAAAATTAGATAGATGTAATTGACAGGTAGTTTTCCTCCTTTTCCTCAAACAGATCATTGGAACTATTCTACTTACCTTACATGATCAGAGAAACAAGGATGAGTCTGCAGTTGTGGAAAACAGTAAGTAACTCAAGCATCTGCGTGGTTTGTTTCTTCTTTTCCATCCATCCAGCAAATCTGCCTGAATTTGGAACAAAGCAAATATTCTGCTTCGTTTTCCAATTGCTTCTCTATTTATGCAATTCCCAGAAAACCACCACTATATCTGTTTAAAGCTGAAAAATAACATGGACAGAGGTTAGCTAAAACGTATGAAGGATAGATCAGCTCTACTCTTCTGCTGCTGCTATCCATAAAGAATCGCTCCTAAAATATAAAATGTCAGTAATCTTCAGTTCCTTTCTTCTCCAAAATGAAATTAGTCATATAAAACAATATCCTGATTTTTCCAGCACTTATAAGACAATAAAAAAGGTTGATAACCCTACATATTACGGCGTGTCTTAAGTTAGTAGTTGTGTGATATTCCCAACTGTTGACAGTTTAAAGGGGTTCCCTTCCAATGTTATGTTTCCTGCATTTTGTGTCAGAAGAAAGCTTGAACTTTGCCATAACATCCTCAATAAAAATAGTATCTCCTGGGGTCCGCGTTCTTATAGTCATTTTGTGACAACTGGTTTGACCAAGTCAAGAGTGTTGTTCTTCCTTCGATTTCTGTTATCTTCTTTTCAGTCCATTGAGAACAGCTCACTGTAACACTTGGGCAATCTATTTTATATGTTGCTTGTTGAATGGAAATGACTGGGATTTGCAAGTTTGTGGAGTTGGCGTAAATAAGCACCAGATTTTTGTACTAACTGCAAATGATGAAGCATTTATCTGTGGGCAATTGTTTACTCTCCCTCTTTAACCAAATAGAGATGGGTCAAAAGAGCAATAGCACTTAGACTTATATATCGCTTCACAGTGCTTTACAACCCTCTTTAAGCAGTCTGTAGAGTCAACCCTATTGCCCTCAACAATTTGGGTCCTCATTTTACCCACTTTCGGAAGGATGGAAGGCTGAATCAACCTTGAGCCTAGTGAGATTTGAACTGCCAAATTACAGGCATCTGGCAGTCATCAGAAGTAGCCTGCAGTACTGGATTCTAACCACTGTGCCACGAAGATGGCAGCTGCAGAAATCCTACCTTTTTGTCTCGACATGTATGAAGGAGTTGGTCTTTAATTGCACTATCACTTCATTTTGACTTGTTGCTGTTGGTATATTTTGTACAATTTATAATATTTTAAGGCAATTAACGTTTTTAATCTCTTAAATAAAACATTATTGCAGTGCTTTTGAGTATGAGGGAAGGCAAAAGGAGCAATTGTTTGCAATTTGTTAAAGCTGTTGCATCTTTTCTCCAGGATCACAGGGTGGCTGGGCAATCCATAGAATAGACACGGCTGCTTTAAAGAGTTGCAGTTTATGCCACATCTTTCATCTTTTCTGAATTACAAATTACTTTCGAAGTCCTGCATAACTCTATTCATGTCTCTTCTCTGTTATTATTTTTATATCTTGCCTCTCTCTTCAAGGAACTAAAATTCTTCCCGTTTTTATCTTTGCCAATATTCTAATGGTAAAGCTGAAAGACAAAACCTTCCAGTGAGAAATTAGGAACAATTTGCCAGTCTGTTTTAGACAGCAATAATATCTGGGTCCAAATCTGACAATGTGTGTGGATTTCATTCCGTTGCCCTCTCTGTCACACCTCGGTCTCAGGCAAACAGTCTATACTGTTTCCCTTTAAATTTTCTGTCATTTATTTTATTTATTATTATTTTATTAGTTTGATTTATATGCCGCCCTTCTCCAGAGACTCAGAGCAGCTTACAATGCTTTTAAGCAATAGCCTTCATACTTTCGTATATACCTGCTTAGTAGGGCTTTTGCCCCCCCCCCCCCCGCGGTGTTCTATTTTATACAAAGTCAATTTATTGCCCCCACAAACCGGGTCCTTGTTTTGCCTACCTCGGAAGGATGGAAGGCTGAGTCAACCTTGAGCCTGGTGAGAATTGAACTCGCAGTAATTGCAGGCAGCTGGCAGCTAAATACTACTTTAACAGTAGTTTAGTCCACTGCAACATCAGGCTCCTCATGACTTGGATATTAATGTTTGACTTACAGGAAATCATTATAATTTCTAAGCTATACAGTATGTAAAGGGACATTTGCACAAAGCAGATTTATTTATTTACAAACCCTACCAATGTCTTTCATTTTTAAATCAATCCGTAGACTTTAAAGAGAGGGGTGCTTTCCTGGCCAACTAACCCCTGAACTCATCACGACCCTGATCTGACCCTATCGGTTCCATGGAATGAATGGTATGTGATGATTTTTACTTTTGCTTCGCTTCATTATGCATGCAGCATTCCACTGAAGGGACACCCAGCTTCATCCCCATGCAGGACGAGGCACTCATGAATAACTCAGAATTAGGGAGCTGTCATGTACCTGCCTGTCTCCACTTGCACTTAACCATGGCACACAGACATGCCCTGACTGCATTTTTCTTTCCACTGCTGCTTCTTCATTATTATATTGCTTTCAGCTCATCCTTACAGCCAATGAGTAAGTTGGGCTTAACTATGTGGGTGGTAAAAAAAACAAACATCTGAGACACTTTCCAAGGACAACCTAAGAAAAATGAAAAATTTGCTTAGCGTTGTCGCCCATTCCCTTGCAGAGTGCAGTAACTTGAAACAGAGGCAAAAGAAACGGGATAGGAATTGGCATTGGGGCACTTTAACTCAGCAGTAGAGAAAAGACCCGCAGGTACAGGTAGACTTACAACAGTTCATTTAGTGACTGTTTGAAGTTACAATGAGCTTTGTTACACTTACGAGCTTTGCAGTCACGTGATCAAAATTCGGACTCTTGGCAACTGATTCATATTCATGATGGTTGCCGTGTCCCAGGGTCATGTGATACTCTTTTGTGACCTTCTGACAACCAAAGTCAATGGGGAAGGCAGATTCACTTAACAACGGTGTTACTAGTTTAATGCCTGATTTACTTAAACAAATGTGGCAAGAAAGGTCGTAAAATGGGGCAAAACTCACTTAACAAATGTCTCACAACAGAAATGTTGGGCTCAGTTGTGGTCGTAAGTCAAGGCAGACTACCTGTAATGCTTGGGAGGGTAAACAGCACGGGTAGTCCTCGACTTCTGACCACTGTTGAGCCCAAAGTTTCTTTGCTAGGCGAGACAGTTGTTAAATGAGTTTTGTCCCCATTTTACGTTTCTTGTCAGAGTTGTTAAGTGAATCACTGCAGTTGTTAAGTTAGTAACACGGTTGTTAAGGAAATTTGGCTTCCCCGTTGACTTTGATTGTCAGAAGGTCGCAAAAAGTGATTGTATGACCTCGAGACACAACAATCGTCCTAAATATGAATCAGCTGCCAAGCACCTGAATTTTGATCATGTGACTATGGGGATGCTGAATTTTGATCATGTGATTATGGGGATGCTGAATTTTGATCACGTGACCATGGGGATGTTGCAACAGTCATCTGCGTGAAAACGGTCATAACAGTCACTTTTTTCAATGCCGCTTTATCTTCGACAAACGGGTGTTAAATTGAGAGCTACCTTTACTATAGGCATATTTCTCAGAAATGAACAGTTAGGGGAGAGAAATTGCAACATAAAGAGAAAGGAGTTTTTAGAAACCTTTCTTCCACACTGAGATTTTCATAGCACTCACCCCAAATCATGAATTGTGTTCCAAGCAATTCTGCAAAAAATAATATCATGGGCAATGAAAACATGAACCTTTTGTATTAAAGTTCTATATCACCCTGCCTATAAGGATGTTCAAACATTAGTACTTTCCCTGTTTATCTAGGTAGTGGACAAAGAGCATCCACTAGTGTTATGTCTGAATTGCATTTTTGTGGTTAGTGAAATCTAAAGTGCAGAACTTAAAGTAACTTTGTATTATTTAAACTTTGATAGAGAGAGAAAAAATCCTGTTTCAAAGAAAAACCCTCTCTTTCTATTTCTTTTTTTTTTTTGGAAGAGGAGAGGTTTTTGTGATGAACATACTGTGTGAAAGCTTTCTCTATTTGCTCGCTGTCACCGGCAGATGAGATCATCTACCTCTGCTAAATTGGTTTGAGGAAACAAGTCAAAAGACCCTCCATAAACTTAATATTAGGAAATTTATTAAACAATTCTTTGTACAGAGGTTGTCAACAGTTATAAAATCATGTAATGTTTTGAGGCACTTGAGAGAATACATGCTCACCGTGTTCAAACATTTGTTTTATAAAATAAGATTTTGCTGAATTGGAACGCCCGCTTATAATACAAGAGGAAGGATGTACAAACTGCACACTGCTTTCCATCATATTTAATAGCCGTAAGGTAGCCTACAATAATCCTCTGTTTTGAGCACCCTTTTATTATAGACAACGTGTAGAGTTTTTCTGAGCACCCATATTTCCAGGGCCCACTGCTTCTTAATCCTAACAATGCCTGGCTGTTGTATTTTTATCTCTTTCTTTTCCTCATCCTGTGTTAGATAATACTCATCAACCAAACCTTTCAAGCTTTCAAAGTTAACCTTAACACAGTTGGCACTATTTAATTTAGACCCTTCACCTTTAACACAGTTGCCCCGTTTGACAAAGCATACCCATAACCTTTGGGATCTGCTGCCACAAATTCGGTGATTGAAGTGTTTGGAGGAATCTCGCTTGTTAGCTGTCCTAAATAATCACCTAATGCCAGGGTCCATGTCAGCTCTCTGCTAATAAAAATGACAGAATCAGTATCTTGATAGAGGCATCTGTCCCCAAATTTCTTCAACGTATCATTCTATTATGAATAACACGTATAGCTCGTGTGAATGATCGAATATGTTCCATCTTTACAAATCCGTAATGTTCGTAGTACTCTATAGCTCTGTAGTGTTGCACTGCCCTCTGCCATGATAGAATGCTCTCCTGGTAGACATCAGGTGCTTCTGGTGTACTTAGCGAGTCAGAATCTTCTGAGTGTTCCCATTCCCCTGCTGATTGTGTTTCTGACATATCACACTCTTCAATGGTAATATCACCTTCTATGACTGTAGGCTGTCAGTCCTCATTCCCCTTTTTTGACTTTTTACAAACTGGTTCTAGATAAATAAAAAAAGACATATCAAAGAGATGTCACTGGTTTAATGAATACAAACATCCATATTGTGAAATTATTGTGCATTTTAATTAACCTTGTATGTCATGGGATGTGGATGGCCGGGGTTCAATTTCTTGTCCCTGTACTTCCGGTGCACTGCGTGAAGTGGACTGCTGTGGTTCAATACTCTATTGAACTCGTTGTGAAACAGTAGGCATTGGAACGTCTGCAGAAACCAGTCCACCGTCTCTTATCTGTAGGCACATGAATAATTAAGAGTTAGGATTCTTACTTATTATAGTACAAATAACATATTGAATGCGGAGTGAAAAAAAAAGTCAGACCTCCTTACATTTCAATTATTTTGGAGTAGATTGGGTGAATGACACATCAAAATTCATCACAACAGGTTTTTCTAAAACTTGCATGTGAATAACAGATCCTACCTTGCATTTCCATTTTTCCTGATCCATGCGTTGCGGATAGCTGCTGCTCCATTTCCTGTATCTGTTCCTCCACAGTCCCATGTGGTTGTGGTTTCCCACCTCATTGAGAATCCATGGGCATTGTAAATGCTGTAAACATTTCATTCTCCTCCCATTCTGAAAGAAATGCCAAGTCATATAGGTGTCATTCTTGCTACAGAAATGTAGAGCCACCCCTAAAATATTAACAACATATAGCAGTGTTTGCAAACCTTTTCTGCACTGAGTGCCAAAACAGAGGCACGCACATGCGCATGTGCCAGAAACTGGAAGAGCAGCCATCCATGCACATGCCAGGAAAATAATCTTCCGGTTTCCAGCGCACGCATGCGCGCCGGCCACCTGGTCTTCCAGTTTCTGGCACGCATGCATGCAAAGACCAGCTGACCGGCACGCATGCGCACGCCGGAAACTGGAAGATCATTTTCCCGGCTCACGCATGTGCACTAGGTGGCTGCTCTTCCAGTTTCTGGCACTTCTGCATGCGTGACCAGCTGGCCAGCGCACCGGAACCCGGAAGAGCAACGGGCGACAGCCCTGTGCCCGGAGAGATGGCTCTGTGTGCCACTTCCAGCATGCATGCCATAGGTTTGCCATCACATACATAGCTTGAAATAGGAGGTCATCCTTACACATTATTGTTTGGCGATAGACCTTCATTGCATTTCCTAACAAGTAAGGGACTTTATACAATAGTTATGTCTGCAAATTAAATAACATACCTCTAATTCCCTCTCTTGTGTCCCTCATAATGGGGTTGCATTGCAACCCCCGTTATATATGCGCCAATGCGAATCTGTGGGCATTGTAAATGTGGCAAACAGTTCATCTTCCTCACGTTCTGAAAGAAAAATCGAATCAGACTGGAATCTGTATTGCTACACAAAAGGACAACCTGCCCCTCTAATATTTGCATGGTAAAAGGAAAAAAAAAATATCTTCACATTCTTTAACACACTGCAAATCTGTAGCCTCATCCTACTAAACACCAAACACTTGATATAAATATTATTTACTACATCTATGCCATGCAATATCTTAAAATAGTTATAAAAACACATTTGTATCGGCCATCCTGAAGAGTTCTTCTTTACTGGTCAGCAGAGCAGGGCTTCTGACTGACTAGCACCTTCTTATCAGTTTCAACTAGATACACTTCCAGTGCTGTTGGCATCACATTTATTCCAGCAATCATTACCCATTACAGAACAGAAATAACAACAGATTTCCAAGTGCTTCAGTATACATGTTTAATTTGAAATTCAAACCCTTTACATTAATATTTTCTTGTAATAAATTTCTGATATATTTTGGCATATCAATCTCTTGACAGATAATAGGCATCTCATCTCGAATCCTTGTCATTAACACCAGAAGTTCCTTGACCTTCTCAATGCTTTGTATACAGGCCTTGACTTCATCCAGTGTATCCCTTGTGAAATATAATTTATTCAATTTGTCTGAAATATTAATGATTATCAATTCAATTTGAGGTATAGATATGTTATTATTAAATACGTGCTACGCTTTAAGTGGCTGAAATACCCTACTGCCTGCAGAGACCCTTTTTATCAGACCGTGAAAAGCAGGCCATACCTGAGGCAGCCCTGAATATGCCCTGAGCACGCCTCTCACACACAGGGTCACATGCGTCTACAGTGCATGCTCAGAATGCTAATTCTCTGGGACATGTCTCAACATATCCTGTGTCCAGTTGTCATAAACAGGCATGCAGGTAAGTCCCACTGTTTTTCCCTTTACATTTACAAAACGCCTCCCCCCTTGGTCACCCCTCAAACCCCAGTCGTCTTCTTTATTGTTTTATCCTGTTACGTGCCTCTTTGACTGAATCTGTATTTGATGCATTAGTGCTAGTCGATGTGATGATCCCCACACCTTACACACGTCCACTCTCTTAATTTTATTTTTTCCAGCCTTTTAATGCTATCCCTAAACCATTTCGGAAAGAGCAAAACACGCATACTTTTTTTGCAAAAAAAAAAGATTTTATTTTTACATCTCTGCAATGTAAAACATCCTAGAACGAAGAAAAGGCAATGCCCAAATTCGTTGCATTACAACAGGAAACTGATACCGGAACAGGGACAGGGTCTGCTTACTTTACATTGATAATGCCTTTACTCCCTGCGGTGTGCAAATAGGCTTTTAAATTAAATTTTGGGGCTTCCCTGCTGCTCGAACAGGCAACTGTCCAATCAGATATGCCTCTGTTTTTTGTATTAGGCAGACTTGTGCTCAATTTGGCCAATGGGAATCCGATCTGAGGCATAGCAGCAATGTCATAGGCTGCTGCTACCAATCGCTGCCTCTACAAATACGGACCAATGAGAATGCTCTCTGGTGAATAATAAATACAATACATTACTTCCAGTTGATAGGAATTGTGGGATGGTGCAGAGCCCTTGCTGTAACAAAACGTCTGAGTAAAAGGCATGTGGTCCCGTGGGTGCGATGGTTTGCGGTGATGATGCGGTACCACCGGGGGAAAGGATTATAGGCAAGACAGGGTGAACCAGGACTGTGTTACACTACTTCCGGCAAATAGGATTGTGGGGCATAAAGGGCCAAGGGAAACATCATCTCTCTACTTCTGGTAAAAGAGATTGTGGGGTACGTGGGGTGGAGGGATGTCACAATCCTCCAAGGGAGGTGGCAGAAGTGATGTCACAAAGGGGTAGGGCTAAACCTCCTAGTAAAAACGGTATGTACTACATACTACTCCTGCAGGCTCAGGGTTGGCTAAACTTAAAGACTCTTCTAGTGAAAGGGCAAAGAGGATGGGATTGGAGAAGAAGATATACCAGAGAACTACTTTGGCTTAATGAATTATGCAATTTGTGGCAACAATAAAGTCCCTTATTCCCCAGCCTTTTCTAAAAACAAATCTGAGAAATTATTTGTTAATTTGCTTTTAGATCTTTCATTTGGTTTAGACTTTTTTTCCCCCCACCATCTGTTCTGATGTCCAGTTTGGTTCTTTTTGTTTTGTTTTGTTTCTTAATCTATAACAATCTCTTTTCACATTCGTCCTTAACAGCTTCTTTAATTTCATTCCATAATTCCTCTGAGGTTCAGATCTTCAAAGTGGTCTTTCATGTTCTTTTTGAAAATTGTGAGGATGGGCTCAAAATCATACCATAGAAACTGGTTGGTTTTCTTCTTCTGAGTCTTATATTCTGCCTCGGGACATGCACACGATGAATTCATGATCTGTTCCATGGTTATTCCTGGGCCACATATTTACTGTTGTTAACCAATCTCTTCTGTTTTATTGTACAAATAACAAATGCAATTTGATTTCTATGTGCTTCCTCTGGCAATGTCAATCTATATAGATGTCATTTGGTTATTTGGAAACAGGGTTAGCAAGTGAAGAAATGATTAGATTGGCAGAAACTAATCAATCATTCTCCCGTTTCATTTCTGTATCCTGGGGCATATAGTCTAGCTATGTTTTCCACATTATTATTCCTATTGTGAGCATTCCAGCCTGGAACCCCATGTAGCACATCTTCCTAGCATGTTTTGTCAATTTCAGATTGAACGTGTCTGTTTCTTCTTCTTCTGCATCAGTGGTTGGAGGATAAACTTGGATAGCCATTATATTAAATAGCTGCTCACAAAGTCTAATTGATATTATTCAGTCATTATTCAGCACTGTCTGTCGTATCTTTCCTGACTACAAAGGCAAAGCTGTTCCTTCTGTGTTTGTCATGTCCTGAATAGTAAACAGTGTGATTTTTCTCACAGAGAGTGTCCCGCTCCAATCCATTTTAATTTGGGATGTCTAATATGTCAATGTGTAATCAATACATTTCATTTGTCACTGCACTAAGCTTTTCCATATCCGTGCTTCTAACATTTCAAGTTCACACTGTCATTCTGTCTTTGCAGTTTCTAATATTTTTTTCTTGCATAGCAACATCTGTAACTAGATACAGCAAAGGCTTTAATTTAACTGCTTTATAAACACCATTAGTACTCCCAAATATCCTCAGCTGTTCCTTAGTAGCATGTTGAATGTCATATGATTTGAGTGCCCTAGCATTATATTCTCAATCACTTTATCTAGCCATGTAGTTTTCTTGTTAAAATAGTAGTGGTGGTGCAATGGTCAGAATGCAATAGTGCAGGCTAATTTTGCTCATTGCCAGGAGTTCAATCCTGACCGGTTCAAGGTTGACCTTCCATCCCTCCAATAAAATGAAGATATTGGAAGCAATATGTTGACTCTGTAAGCCGCGATAAAGCACTATGAAGTGGTATATAAGTGTTGTGGTCCACCAGCAGCCTGCAGAGCTGGCAGTGGAGTCGGACAGTGAGAAGGCTGGGGAGGAACATGGAGTCTGGGGAAGGCTTGGACGAGGGCTCTGTGTTGGAGGCAAAGATGGGGCCAGGGCCATCTGGGAGTTATGTGTGGACTCCAGAGCCTCCAGAGTCAGATATCAGAGAGGCAGAGGAATAGGAGGAGCCAGTTCCTAGTGTGCACATGCGCAGAGCTGTCAGAAGGCAAGAACAGTTAAAACTAAAGGGACGACTCGGAAGTAAGGCCTGGAGATGATTGCCCCATCTTAAGGCTTAAAAGAGAAGCAAAGGCATGTGGGCCCTTTACATGAAAGCAACGTTGTTAATTCTGTTCCCAGTCGGCATTTCTATTTGATTCTGGATTCCATGTGGCTTTGCCAAGTAGGTCTTTGGCAGAGTGTCAAGGGAGATAAAGGTTGGTGATTATCCTGAAGGACTTTTTGCAACTAATTGGGACTCAGCTGTGAATGAATGTAATTCACAGCTGTTGCAATAAATGAGGTTTTTGGGACTACTCATGTGTTTTAATGACTCAGGAACCTAGGTCAAACAATAAATCTGAGTTGCTAAGTCTAAGTACTATTGCTAAAATACAAGAGTAGTCTACTTTTGCCTTCTCCCACATGTATGAGATGATGCCTTTGCTATTGTCATAAAATAACCATCCACTTTCAGAATCTTCCTTTGCCACAGTTGCCTGATATAGGAACCAGCTAGTTATGCTGGGCAGCTGGGATGGCTTTTACACCTTGGTTGACCTTGCTGGGAGAATTCACTCTTGGTCTACACCAGGGGTGTCAAACTCACATTGTCATGGCAGCATCACATGACATATTGGGACTTCCCCCCCTTCGCTAAACTGGGTGGGGGAAGGGCCAGTACAGCCCGCGGGCCACAAATTTGACACCCCTGTTCTACACTCTTGGTGTTCTTTACTCATTCCTCCCAGGATCACCCCCCATCCTACAGAAGATGAAGACCTGGGGGGGGGGGAATAGGTTTCTGAAAACCAGAGTTACCAGGTTATAAGGCAGAGAAAATGACCTTTTCTGTGGAATTTCACATGTAGGTTTATCTCTATCTATTTGCAGAGATTTCCAAGGCCTGAGTAAGAAGTATCCTTTCTGGACCACTGCTTTTGTTGGAATATAGCTGCACAATCTTTCCTTCTGGATAAGTAAGCACAATATAGGTGATCTCCCTTTTCAGTCCTTTGTTCAGAGATTTTTTTTATAGCAAGGCATTATAAGCCAATAGTCTTGGAAACAGCATCCACAGTTCTACAACGCCCTGTAGAAAGCATCCATTGGAAAGTACGTTGAGAGGCTAGGGAGTAAAATGCTTTGGTTTCTTTCTTTCTTTCTTTCTTTCTTTCTTTCTTTCTTTCTTTCTTTCTTTCTTTCTTTCTTTCTTTCTTTTTTTGCAGAATCCTCCAAATATATATATATATTCTGTTTGGCCTTTTAATATGTTGATGAATAACAGCAGTTTAAGATCTCAGATAAAAAGATTTCCCACCTCTTGCAATCCTTTTTATTTATCTACCTCTATCTCTGTGGCATATAGTTATTAATGGCCTGGCCTAGCTGCACTTCTGCTGCTGTGAGTCAGCAAAAGTTTGGGGAGGGGGAGGAAAAGGGGCTCAATTGGGGCCTTGAAGGCTAGCTGTGCTATCCAAAGGGCTGATGATTTGACTTGGCTAACAGCCAGGGCTGTTGTGGGAAGGTGTAGAGACAGAAGTCCTATTGGTTCAGTCTGATATTATTTGAGTATTGAGTACTAGAGCTTAGTGGGGACACCCACAACTTCAGTCGCCGGGGGACATGCTGCTGGTCTGATCCAAAATTGGAGAGAGAGAGTTTGCGTGAAACAAGAGTGTCTGCAGAGAAAAGTTGGAGAGTGAAGTTATGTTAGCGGGCAGAGCAGCAGTGGGTTTCCAATATTCTTATCACCGGTTCGTGCGCGCGCCTTCCATACATGCGCCTGGCCTTCTGCGCATGCACTTTGTTCACTCACGTGCCTTCCGCACATGTGCCTGGCCTCAGAAATATCCCTAAATAGGATGTCATAGAGCCAGGGCGAGTGGCAGGCCCACCCGCGATCTACACTACCGGTTCACCCCAACCAGTACGAACCGGCTGAATATCACCTCTGGTACAGTGGTGGGTTGCCCCCAGTTCAGAAGAACCAGTTATAAAACCGGTGGGAGGCCCCACCTGCCACCCCGGATGTCGTCATCAGTGATCTGTGCATGCGCAGAAGCAAGGCGCGCGCGCGAGTGAAGCAAGCCTGCGAGCGCAATCCCATTGCAAGCCGGTAGTAAAGGTAAGTAGAACCCACCCCTGGTCTGGTGCAGAGTAATTGGCAGTTCCTGCTCAGGAGAAAGAGAATAAATGATCCATGGGTAGTTTCCCTGAAGGAACGAAAATGAAGACCCAGAAAGAGGACATCTTCAAAACAGAAAGGAGGGAACCAGGTGGCTGCAGACAGCATCTTCACCTTTCAAGGACCAAAACAAGAAGGAGGGACAAAGCCCTGGTCTCCGAGGAAGGACTGGGCGAAGACCCTGAGAGAGGTTCTTCCCCCAATAAAGAAACAGTGGTCTGAGCAGATCCAGGAGAAAGTCAAGCTGTCCTGAACACACTATAGTGCAGTAGTCACCAACTGGTAGTCCGCGGACCACTGGTGGGCCGTGAGAAAATTTTGGTGGTCTGCGGCGCACCAGGGTGGAGGAGCTGCTCCAGGATGAGCAATGGCCAGTCCTGTGACTAGAGCTCTGGAATATGGGACTGGCCAGGCAGCTCATGGTGGGGCTATAAATCTCTGCTGTAGAGGGAGGTTTGTGCAATTTCCAACTTTGCAGCGCAGCCGGAATGAGTTAATGGTGCAAGGGTGTGTGTGTGCAGGCGGGCCGAAGCAACGGGTGGCGGCAACCCCGGGCTGTTTCTTCCCCCTGCTGTAGCTTCCTGTCGGCTAAACCACCAGTGGCTGTCCCCACCTGGCAAGGGAAAGGGCAGGGGATGGAGATTCACTCCATATTCCAGAGCGGGAGCGAAGCTTCGTTTCTTGCTGGATCTCGCGGCCGTTTCTTCCGGCCCTTGTTGGTGCTCCGCGCACCTCAGTCTCTAGGGGATACCCTTGACTTCCTCTCAGCCCTAAGACACATGAGATGTCCCATGAGATGGGAGAGGGAAAGAGAATCAGAGAATCAAAGAGAGAATCAGAACGAGAGAGAGAGAATGAGAGAGAGAGAGAGAGAGAGAGAGAGAATCAGAGAATCAGAGAATCAGAGAGAGAATGAGAGAGACAGAATGAAAGAGAGAATGAGTGAGAATCAGAGAGAATCAGAATGAGACACAAGAGAGAGACAGAGAATGAAAGAAGAGACAGAGTGAAAAAGAGAGAATGAGAGAAAAAAAGAGAGACAGAATGAAAGAATGAAAGAGAGGAGGAGAAAGAATGAGAGAGAAAATGAGAAAGAGACAGAATGAAAGAAAGAGAAAAACAGAATCAGAGAGAATGAGACAGAATGAGAGACAGAATGAAAGAGAAAAAGAAACAGAGAGAGAATGAGAGAGACAGAGACAGAGAGAGAATGAGAGAGACAGTGAATGAAAGAGAGAAAAAGAAAGAGACAGAGAGGGAATCAGAGAGAGAATGAGTGGGAGAGAGAAAGAGAGAGGGGGAGACAGAGAGAAAGAGAAAATGAGAGAAGGAGAGAAGGAGAGAGAGAGAGAAAGAAAGAGGAGGGAGAGTGCTCGAAGGACCCCATCTTGTCACTGGGAGTCCAGGCGCTTCAGCAAGCAGCGCACTGGATTTGTATTAGTGGTCCGCGGGATTTAAAATTATGAACTTGGTGGTCCCTGAGATTCAAAAGGTTGGGGACCCCTGCTATAGTGAATTCAGCTGTTTCCTTTCTTTTCATTCTCTCTTGATAAGCCCAGAAAAGGGAAAAGAAGCAGGCGAGTTACAGGGGAAAAGTTTCTGAGAGGGCGACCCAGAAGGAAACCTGATACTATGTGAAAACCCCACCCCCAGATTATGTTGTGAATACCTATTGTAAATACTTGCTGTAAATAGCTTCACTGTAAATAGTAAAAAGTATAAGAGCCTACACTGTCTTATTTCTTGTGTCAATTGCCACCCTTTCAAACCAAAATACATCTCCAATTCAAAAAAAATCCTGTCACAATGAGACTATCTCAATGCCAGAAATTGAATTTAGATCATTTTATGTACAAAGCAGTGAAAATAATTTAAAAAAGGATCCATCAATTAAAAAAAAAAAATTCAAATTATTTGAGAAGTGCAATGGATTTCCACTCCGCAGGCCATCGACCAATCGTGTATACCCTATCAAAGATACATTGAGATTAGCTTGTTTTGATAAAGGGCCTTTACAAACACTAGAGAAGAAAAAAGGCAGGAGACTTGGACATGGCATTGGAACACTCAAAGTTCTCAAGCTAAATCTCAGCATTATTCCAGAAAAGGGAAAAAAATGTATCTTACCCCTGGAATGTTGGAACCGTTTGCTGGATCCAGATGGACGTTGCTGTGGTTTTGCAAAAGCGAATGTGGCTTTGCTTAAAGTACTCTAAAAGGATATACGTTGGATGACCCTTAAAAACAATGCAAAAACTGCAGTCAGCCCAGAAGGCAGTGGGTTGCCTCGTGCCGAGTACAGATTAAAAAGAGTTGACTAGCTTTGATTCTCTTGCTTTGGAAATCAAATATCTTTTGAACCTAGTTTCTAGTTCTGCTGCAAGCTTTTAAATCGCTTAAGCTGAAATCTCTAATTGAATCAAAGATGCCTTACAGTATTCTGGTACTGTCATTAAAAGTTTGCAGATTTATATATGTATTTCAGGTTATATGCTTCACTAATCCAGAAGGACCCTAAAATGGAATTGATCGCATATTGTGCAGTTAGATAGGACTTTTGAGAAAAGTCTGGATTTAAAATAAGTAGGGCGTCAGCTTTGGAAGCCATATTAGGCCGGGAGCTTTCATGCTGCCACCTTCTCATGTGTGGGAAAGTAGGAGGGGGGGATTTAGTAGAGGGGTTGTCTGTAGACATAATAGCATTCTTCCTGTTGGTCAAAGTCAGGCCGATCCTGCATCTGGAGAAGGAATGGTCGGAGTGCTGTCTCGAGATGGGACAGATGGTGATTGGAGCATGTGATCGACTGAGGAGTGAGGGGATGGTTTTGGGGGTCTTGATTTACTGAGGGAAAACCTGAACCTCTCACATTCGGGTTTTCCCAGATGTGCCAGTTTACCTATTCTAGTAAATAGAACTTTGACAAATGCTTGCTTCAGAGTTTTTACTTGGAGTTGGAGGGTTTTCTGTAACGCTGACATTGGGTGTACAAGAATTTCAGTATTGCATAGTACAGGTAGTCCTCAACTTACAACAGTTCATTTAGTGACCATTCAAAGTCACAACAGCACTGGAAAAAGTGACTTATGACCATTTTTCACACTTACAATCTTTGTAGCAGCCCCATGATCATGTGATCAAAATTCAGACGCTCGACAACTGGTTCATACTTATGACCGTTGCTGTATCCCCGGGTCATGTGATCCCCCTTTGCAACCTTTTGACAAGCAAAATCAATGGGGAAGCCAGACTCACTTAACAACCTTGTTACTAATTTATCAACTATAAAACATCGGTGGCAAGAAAGGTCATAAAACTTAAATAAATTTTGTGCTCAATTGTGGTTGTAAGTCGAGGACTATCTGTATTATCTAAATATGTCATGCACTTGGAAAAAGTTGCTGAATTCTCCTTTGGCTCAAGAGTGACAGTTTTCTTTTGCATTAAAATATAACTGTTAGGTTGATAAGCTTGGAGAACACACATGCCCTTACCCTATTGTGTTGTCCTCTGCAATTCCTTTCTATGAAGAGATGTCTTATTATTCATGGTCTTTCTGCTTTTTATAAATGTGTTGTGACATTTTCTCCCTTTTATTTATATTTCCTTGAGAATTCACAGGGGAGGTAATGGCTTTCATATTTTATGAGGTATCTCGTTTCGAAGTGGGAGGAAATAATAGATGATAGAGCAAGACTGAAGGATATTGGATCATCCAAGTGAAAACTATGTACTCTTCTTAGTTTACAGTTTGGATCAATTGTTTCCAAAGAGAATTTGAGGCAAATTCGGTTTTTTACCATGCAGAAATTATATTGAAGTTATAACTATATACTATTAGAGTATAGCATACTCTATACTCTATATAGTATACTATATACTAGTATAGTATATACTAGTATATACTACTAAAGTATATAATAGTATATTATATACTATTATAATATACTATTAGAGCTATGCAAAGCTTCAGGATGAAGATTCATCAGTTTCAGAACCAAATCGTATTTTGGGGAGCCTCATTACATCTAACTGGATAAAACTATTCAAATTGTCAAATTCAGATCAAATCTTATGATTCAAATTGTATCAGAATCATGTCCCAATTTTTCTAGATAAGATTAGAAAGTCATTTATCTTTGGTCCTTTTTTGAACCAATACAGATTTTTTTCCCCCTTTGCATCCTTTTTCCTCCCTGTACATTTTTGGTTCCTTTTCATCTTTGCACACAATAGAATATTGCTGTTTCAAAACAAGCAGCGCCACCTAGCGAATTCAATAGATATGCTTTTCTTATATGTGTATACGAGACCCATCAGATAAAGGACTTTTTAATTCCTTGAGTTTTAGATTCCCCCCTCCCCCCGCTTTTATTACTTTTATAAATAACTCAAGATGGCAAACATACCTAACACTTTCCTCTTCTTCTTCTTTTTCTTCTTGTGTCATATCCGTCATTGGACGTTGGCGATCATGTTGGCAGTCCTATTTTTGTCAACAGCCGCATGAAAAAGTGCTGCTGAGTTTTGTCCAAACTAGTCCCTTAGGTTTTGAAGCCATGATGTTCTTCTTCTGCCCGGACCTCGTTTGCCTTCAATCTTTCCCTGGAGGATTAAGTGAAGGGTGCCGTATTTTTTTGGGTGTCACATCACATGTCCAAAATATTCTAACTTTTGCTTTTTAATGGCTTTGATGATTTCCCTTTGCTTTCCCAGGCGGCTTATCACCTCCTCCTTTGTGATTTTGTTAACTTTATCTAACACACCTTCCTATTTTTTTAATTTATATTTAGATTGCAAGTACTATTCATTATATTTATTTTTTTAACAAAACAGTCTCAACTAGAAAAAACATTCAAAACTTTTTCATTTGAGGATAGCTCATACCACCAGTGTTTCTACTTACCTTAACACAGTAGCTGAGAGCTGATGGTCTTTACTCTTTGCAGATTTCTGCTGGTGTCAAAATATCTCAAACAACATCATTTCTATGTTTGCGAAATTTAATATTCACAGATTATGAATCAATCAGTATTCATTCTCAATCCTCAGAGAGCCAAGAGAAAAGCACCATCATCTGATCAACATCTTAACACCCGAGATGACAAAAAGGAAATACTAGCAACCTCCTTTCCTGGCAGAATTAAATACAGCTTCAAATAAAAATGGATTTCTGGTGATTCCATAAACAAAGGCATGCACTGTTTTTAGCCTTCAGAAGGAAACACTTTGCCATTGCTTCCTTCCAGGATTTTTAAAAACTTTTGAATCTAGCATGCAATTAGTTTTCTAATCAATGAATTAGAATCAATAAATCAACAATTGGCTAGATCTGTGATGGCAAACCTATGGCACGCGCGTCAGAAGTGGCACGCAGTGCCCTCTCTGTGGGCACTCAAGCCGTCACCCCAGTTCAGCTCCACCGCGCATGCGTGTGCGTCTCCTGCCGGCCAGCTGGTCATCAGGTCTCTGCCACGCATGCGTGGGGGTATACACACACATGCAAGGGGGGCAGGGCACATGTAGGGGCATGCATGCATGAACGGGGGTGGGATGCATGTGGGGGTGTGCATGCACAGGGGGAAGGGCGCATGCATGGGGATCACACACACATTGCATTTTGGGGGTTCGGGCATGCACGCATTTGTGCACACACAAACTTTGGGCACTCGGTCCGGAAAAGGTTAGCCATCACTGGGCTAGATGCTTCTACCTGTTCTGATGCTATTAGAGGTAGCCTCCAATTAATACTCCTACGCTATTAACACCTTCTTGTTATCATTTAAGTACTTTGTATAACTTTATGGTTATTTCCCTTCCTACCATTTCAGACCTATAACTCAGAATGGCCAGAGTGCTTTAACCATGTCATGACATTCTTTTAAAGTTGCCAGGGAATGAACACCACATCAATTATCCCCCGTGTTATGTTTTTTTTAAAAATAAAAATAAAAATCTTTGTGGCCTTTAGTCTCGCTGTTCAGGATGCATTGTTCTCATCCTTAAATAAGAACTACCTGACATTCAAAGCTGTATAAACAACATTCTGCTAGAATTCTGTAAATGTGAAGCTGCTTACAAATGAACAGGGCAAGAAGGGAATCAAAAGAACTTTTCTGTCCCTGCCAACCATTCATTCTTTGGTCATATCAACAGCATTTCCTGCCAAGTCAATGGCACAAGCAGAAAGGGTTTTTAAAAAGTTGGATTCTGTTTATCTGGAGATATAACTAATTGTAGTGTAGATACTAGAAGAAGTTAATACAAATAAGCACCTGATTCATATTTATTGCCCAGATGCCTAATCCTACAGACTAATCTAGACCTAATATTGGTTTCACATTACAATAAGAATTCAAGGACAAACATTCACATTTATAGTGCCTAGATGACAGGTGTCAAATTCGCCGCACATTATATGTTGCTGGCATGTGACGTATCACAACTTTTTTCCCTTTGCAGAGCTGGTGTGGCCGTGGCCTGCCTATGATGCATCCTGTTTTTCCACTGCTTTTAAAGACCTTGTAAGTTGTGTTGGTGAAATAAAATTCCATTAGTCGCTTTACTAGATGTTTTTCTCGATAACTCCAACCATGATTGCATGTTACTGCAAAAGCTACCATAGTGAGGAGGGACGCATTCTAGTAAAAGTTCCAAGAACAGGATTCTGAGAGAGGAAAACTGACTTAGAGCAATGAGAGGATGAGGCATATTTTCTCACCAGTAACCAAATATAACACTCATAAGTTCTAAAGAATCATAGAAATAAAAAGTTTATTAAGTACTCAGAGAGTTTCACATTTAGTTCCAAAAATAGGCATCAAAGAACATAGGAATATGAAATAGAACATCTGTTTGCAATTTTTTTAAAGTAGCTGCATCTTTCCTTTGGCTCATTCAGTTATTCTCCCAAGTTGGATTGCACTTCTCCACCCTTAAAGTCCCTATTGTGTCACTAGTTGTATTCTGATGTTCATCTGATTATATTCAAGGGCAGAAACTGTTTTATGTTGCTTGATGTAAACAGCAGATATTGACAATGTAGGAAGTGTAGGAAGTTAGCACCCACCCTTCTCCTAGAAGAATGAAATATTTTAGGAAATATTAAAAAGGCAGAATATATTTCTCTGGATGAGAAATGGAGAAACATGTTTTAAAGACAAAGCAGCTCCCACCTTCCTGCCTCCCCCACACCTTTGTCAATGGGCCAGAGGCAGAAACCCAATACCACCACCACCACCTTTGTCAATGGTCCATCATCTGGACCCATCTAGCAACAGAAACTCACATCATGGCACCTGGGAAGATTACATCAGCCAGCAAGGCTAGCTAAGACCTCCACCCCTTGGGAGTCTGACAACCAATCAGGATACTCTTCCTGTGCCCCAGGAAGTTCAAAGCTCAGAGAGGGCATAAAACCAAAGCATGTTCAGCATCTCAGCCCTTTTCTGTTCAGGAACTCAAACCATGTGATCCTGTCCACCACCAAACCATCTTTCCAAGCAGTCTCCATATTTCCACATGGACTTGAACATGGAGCTGAACCCAGAAAGATATTTCTTCCAACAGAAGTTAGCACCCACCCCTCTCCTAGAAAAATGAAATATTCGAGAAAATATTAAAAAGGCAGAATGTTATATTTCCCTGGATGAGAAATGGAGAAACATGTTTTATTTAGGCAGGAAGCAGACTCACTCTTAATAGCCCCCACCCTCCTTAATAGCCCACAGCAGATGCCCACACTTAAGAGTTAAAGAGATAGCTAAGTCTATTCATAGGCAAATGGCCTCACCCAAGATCGAAAAAAGGTAAACCTGGGAAGATTACATCACTCAGCAAGCCTCAACCAAACTTGGACTAAAAACACAGCCTACCTACAGAGTTGCCCCTGCATGGCCCCATGGGAGCCTGACAATCAATCAGAATACAAGCTCAAATTCAAAGCCCAACAGAGGGAATAAAACCAAGGCACTCTCAGCATCTCTCCCCTTTTCTGCTCAGGATCTCAAGCCATGTGATCCTGTTCATCAATAAACCTTCTTTCCAAGCAACTTCCATGAATCCACTGTCTTTTTCCCCACTTGGAACTGAACCCAGAAGGATATTTCTTCCAACAACAAATAAAAATATTTTCCCAAAACTATATCTTGCATTACAATGATTATCTCATCAAAATCATCCTACAGTACCAGGTTCCTCCATTTTTACAACTTTTATCTTTTAATAACTGATTAGTGGTAGTTACTTCCTGCTTGAAAATACATTCAGCTTCTTTGCAATTTGCTATAGGATTCCTCAGTATTTTCTTGCATTGCCTGTGTTCTAAATTTGTACGCTTGTGATTTACCACTAGTAGTAATATACTAATTTACCACTAATTCTAGTAGGTATGAATTGTCAGTTATTGAGTTAAATATGAGTTTTTACTTAGCAATATCCTTTTTGAATGCCACTGTATCTCCATTTCTCTGGCTTCCTCCATGCCTCTGTACGCCTTACCTGGCTAATGTGAATTACTCACAGTCTCCCTCTGCCCCCAGCCCCTTTGACCTTGCCAGCTGTCCCTCCTACTACTACTGGTAGTAGTGTTTTCAAACTTAGTGGAACTTCTAAGTCCTTCCACCACGTCAAAATGGTAATCCCCTGGAAAGGATATCTACATAATACCATATCTACATGGAAAATACATCTATAATTAAAGATGCTAAAAGTTTTTTGTGTGTGTGTGTGTTGGTGATGGGGGTTGTTTCCTTATTTCTTTGTTTCAGATCGTTATCTTTATCTTTGCTCCTTTCAGTTCCTGAAATCCATTAGCAAATTGCCTCCTTTAAAGAATGTATTCACTGAACAGCAGCAAGTGGTTCACAAAAAAATAGCAAATGGATGGTGAAAATTTTTGTGAAAGCCTATCTCCATAGCAATGTACTAAGAGATCATTACTGCAGCAACTGATTTTATATCACCTGTTATCACATGTTCTTTTTTAAAAAAATAAGCATTAGCCATTTTCCTGTTCAGTTTTAAAGTTGGCAAGGCAGCAAAGAGTGATGGAGAAAGAGTAACTGCCCAGCAACTCTACACATTGCTGTTTCTTGCAAGGCAGATGAAGAAGTCCAGATCTTCAGCAGAAACTGCCACTGCACGCAGTAGAAAGGGGCATAGCTTTCCTCTTCCCTGAGGAGATGCTACAGAAGGGACTTGGCAATACAGGTAGTCTTTGACCTACGACCACAATTGAGCATAACATTTCCGTTGATAATTGAAACATTTGTTAAGTGAGTTTTGCCCCATTTTACGACCTTCATTGCCAGACAACTTCACTGCAGTTGTCAAGTTAGTAACATGGTTTTTAACTGATTCTGGCTTCCCCATTGACATTGCTTTTCATTTGATGCTAGAGCAGTGTTTCTCAACCTTGCTAGCTTGAAGATGGGTGGAGTTCAACTCCCAGAATCCCCCAGCCAGCAGTGCTGGCTGGGGGTATTCTGGGAGTTGAAGTCCACTCATCTTCAAGCTACCAAGGTTGAGAAACACTGTGCTAGAGAATCAGAAAGTTAGTGATTTAATGCCTGGGATGGATGATGGATAAAACCAGGATGTAATCA